AAATAGCAGAATCATACTCTAATCTGAAGTATCTTAATTTACAAAAAGACAAATATATATCCTGTAATATGGGCATAATAACTGATGAAGATTTATATGCAATTATCCTGTCATGCTATAAATTAGAATATCTAAATATTTCTCATCATACAGATATTCGTGAATTATCAATTTATAATATTATTCGTTCTTATCTAAAACTCTAATAATTCGATCTAAGATTTTGTAAAATTACTAATATAATGATTGAAAAGATTGCTATTTCATGTCTTAATTTAAAATATCTTAATCTGGAAGGGTATTATAAAATTAGCAAAGAAGCTATAGATAAGCTAAATCTAAATATTCACGTAAAGAATTTTGTGAAAATTTTAACGTCACCTGATCTTATTAGAATAGTTAATAATCAAATTTAGCTCAAGGTTTTTAGAGCCTTTTAGATCTAAGTATACGAGATAATCAGAATTCAGTTTTATTATAGATGTGCTGATGATATAGAGTTGGTAAAAGAATATTAGCCCTAAAATAGGTACTCTACTGATTTAACTAGTCTGGATCAGTGATCACTCAGAAGATTTTTTTATTGAGCTATGTACAGCGCTTTCAGCTAAATTATATGACAGAAAATAAGTGAATCATCAGTCAGGTCTTGTGTGATAAAAAAAATAGATAAGCTAAATATGGGTGCTAGCTGAATTCTGCACAAATGATACAATTGAAATAACAGTAGTCTCACCAGAAAAATAAAACATTTTTATTCCTCTCTGAACTGTGTCTTTGATAAAAAATGGTCTGGCATGTTAATATCCGCTAAAGATAAGGAACTGTCAGAAGTTTTGAAAATATGCTCTTGCATTTTTATTAGTTTCTTTTAATCCATTTATTTTCTAATCAGAATGACTGAAAATACTAAGAACATTCTGAATTATGCTTATATTCTCTTCCAAATATAAAAGCAAATAATATAATATTTCAAGTGACCTTTTCTCATATGTTTCTCTCTCAAGATCATGCATATTATTATATAATATAATAATAATAGAGTAGTAAGCCACATCAAGATTTTCCTGTATATCTATTAATTCTCTCATCAAATCAAATAACAGTTCAAACAAATCTTTAAATGTTTTTCCTTTGCTTTGATTCAATGCTGTTTGATTTCTACTCTCAATAGGTTCCTTTCTCCAGTCTGAAAATATACTGAGTTTTTTCTGAATAGTTATTATATCTTTCTTCTTATATAAAAGCTCACTATATAATTAAGTATTGACTTGATCAGAATTATTATTAGTATTTCTTGTCATGATTGTGTTTATCTCTGGTTAGCATATATTTAATTTTGATATAGAATACTGATCATCAATCTGGATATTGATTATTTCAATTATATCTATAGTATTATGATTATGGATATGAAGTAACATTTTATAATATATACTCTAGATGGTATTACTATACAAGTGGCAGTGGAATACTAGATTAATCTCACAAAGTCAGCCGTCAAAGAAAATTCTGAATTACTTTGTAGTAATATGAAAAGGATAATAGGTATAATTATTAGGCTATTAAAGGATAGGGTTAGTATAGATAGTCCCCTAACTAGCAAGAGGCTAGGATCAAAAATTTATCAAAAAATAATATGTATCACGGGTGCAGTCTTAAACTATGTATTTATTTTTACATGTATTAATAAAAAATTTTTCTTAGCAAAATGATTAGCGTTATAAATTGTAATGCACATATGATTCTTTTTATTGGTTATGAAGTCTGTGACATTTGATCAAGCTACTATTTAAAAAAGATGAAGCTTTGCATGGTCGTCATTCAAATTGTCTTTACTATCTCGCAAATACAAAAGCAAACATGAGTACAATATGAATAATATATGAAGGTAATAATAGATGTGGAAATGTAGAAGAAAATGAAAGGATAAAGACATTGAGTAATCTCATAGAGGAATAGATAGGCAGATAGACGTAGTAACATAATAACTTCATGTATCATAGATAGAGATTTGAACTTTTGTATTTATTCCTTGAAAAATTTTTAGTATAACAGAGAAAGATAAGTATGCATTTGAATTTTGACCTGATTACTCACGTGATTTTTGATCGTAAAAATTCTTCACATGATGTGATAATATATGAGAAATAAATCTTTGGTCATAGGCGAAGTGGTAGCAAAATCATCTTTGTTCTTATTTTTCGTATATATTAATAAAACTTTTTTTTGGCAAATTTTGCTGACAAGCGTTACTTTCTCAATCATGTAATTTATTTACTATATCAATAAAGAATTTAGCCAAAAATGTTATATATTGTGAAATATAGATATAGGTATAAAAAGTATTGGCCACTTTTGTAAAATGTTTTACGAAATAACTAACTTAATAATTCTTTATTTTTTTTATTTTTATCAAATATAGGTTAATATTTCGTTGGTTCTCCATTAGCTGCAAGAATAGCTTGAATTTGACGCAGCATTGACTTGATCAAATTATGGTAATATTCTACGAGTATCGCATCCCACTTCTCTTTAACCCACTGTTTCAACTGCCTAACACTTAATGGCTAGGAATCTCGTTGATAGATCTTGACCTCAACATTTGAGGATGTGAGAAATGAATGTGCAACTTTTGTGGTATGCACAAACGCGTTGTCTTCTTGAAAAAAAATCTTTTTTTGACCTTTTTTGCATAAAACTTGACTGTAGGAATGGCATAATTAGCCAAAACGTCACAGTGTGTAATTCCAGTAATGCGATCTTCTAAGGGGACCAAAGGACCCAAGTCAACCCAGGAAAATCACCCCCAGAACATGCGACCAAAGCTCTTTTGGACCGTGGCTGCAATGCAGTCTTCATAAACTCTTCAGAAGGTTTGCGTCACACTTGTTCAAAACCTGAAGTTCTAAATTGTGTGTAGGTACTCTCGTCCAATCAGACAACTCATTTGAAATCTTCTACTGTCGAATTTTTGTAAGTACGGGCCCACAAATAACGTTTTTCTTTATTATTTTCAGAAATTAAAGGACTGAAACGAGGAATTCAGGAATGGAGATTTTCTTTGTCTAATTCATTTTGAATGGTTTGTATGGAAATGGGTTTGTTTGTTTCATTTATAAAATTTAAATGTATTTAAGAAAGGGTTTGACGACGGGTTTTTTTATTCCTAACCACCAAACTTTTGAGATGTTTGCGTTCAGTTTCGTTAAAAATTTGTGGTCGATCCAAATGTTTCTTTGGAAGGCTTTTTAGCTCATACAACTCCCAAATACATCAAACAGAGGAACGAGAGCAATTTATGACTGCGGAAATCCTAGTATTTATGTATCCTAATTTTTTAGCTATGATAATAGCTTTTTTTTGGCCCTCACTAAGTTCCTTTCCACGACACATCCTTGTGGTAAATTTTTTTCACTAATAAAAAAAGTTTTTTTTCGTATGACTATATGACCAACTTTATGTTATACAATGGCGATTTTTTTATTTTGATTATTTACATAACAATCACGTGTAATTTAAAATAAAAAAAAAACTGCAGCTTAATTTAAAAAGGGCGTGACAACACGCGCTTCACTTGTATCACGTTGGGTGATCAATACTTTTTATACCTTCCTGTATGTATGATAAATAAAAAAAAGTGAGACCTAAAGTCCCACTTGATCAAATAAATCACGTCCTATATGAATCTGAACTTGAAAAATAAATGCAAAGTAATGTTACACATTATGTAGTTTCTTGCAGGGAATATTATTCTACATAGTCTGTGCGGGTAAAAGAGATATAGACAAGAAAATTTTGTAGATATTGGTGAAAAATCAGGTAGAGAAAAATTATGGTAGTGTAGTTAGCAATATAGATATAGAAATTTATAGAAACAAAGAAATAACTTGATACTGGGAGACTCGCATTAAATGACCTAGTCTCCTGATGCTTCCTCCCTTGAAAGCATCATATATTTTATTTATTTCATTGTCCGAAGCGCAGCGGAGGACATTACGTTCTGTGCAAAAGGGTGAAAATGTTTGTCAGTCATGCACGTGATCAGTGTGACCTATATGTTATAAAAAACTTAACAAAATTTTTCGATACTGTTATATAATTAAATTAAACTATTTGATGCTGTTAAATAATTAAATTAAACTTTCGATATTGATAGACTTATTATTAAACTTCATTAAACTATTAGATTTGTAAACAAAACATAAAGATGTATTTTAATAAATTAAATCTTCTCTCTTTCTTTATACAATTGTTGCTTTTATTATTGTCCGAAGCGAAAGCGGAGGACGTTTATGTTCTATACAAAAAGGTTGAAATGTTGGTCGGTCACTATTATAATCAGAGCATAGAGTGGTCGGTCACTATAGATGTTACACGTGATTAGTGTAACCGGGACTATTATAATCGGAGCATAGGGCAAAAAATGTTGGTCGGTCACTATAGATGTTACACTGTGGCATTTGGGTTAGGGCGTAGCATTAGCATTAGAGTTAGGACGTGACATTAGAGTTAGGATGTAGCATTGTGGCGTCAGGGTTAGGGTTAGGATGTTCAGAAGGAAAGGTTTATTAGGAAAGCAGGCCGTAGGACACGCAACAAACGGCTGCGCAACGTTTCCGATAAGTTGCGTAGAATTAGGGTTAGTTCGTAGCAAGCCACTATATATAATGATCAAAATAAAGAAAAATCTCTCATATTTATTATTCATCGTGAAACCATTAAATGTAACAATACTATACTAAATTAAATGTAAATGTAACACTAAAAAATGTCAAGCTCAAAAAAATTGGAGTGACGCTCGCTTCGGAAGCACAACGGTCCCCGTTGCCTAGTTATATTGTACTCTTTCAGAAAAATAAAGCATCATCTGTATCAGAATATCAAATTTTTATTATATGCAACATTGCAAAGTTTAAAAAAAAATATTACATGAACTTGTTACATTTACAATTACAGTTAAATGCTATGAATTTGTTATATTCATTACAATTTGTTTTTCATAACCTTGATTTTTTTCTTGCCTCTATAGGGATGTTTTTAACCTTATTATATAGATCATTTTCATCCTCAAATGGTCTTTTTTTCTTGATTTCAGATGCAATTGACTTTCCTATTCCTCTAACTGTTCTTAATTCGTATTCCTCTGCAGTATTTGCATCCAATTGGTCGTCATCTATGTAACAAATGTAAGATTATAATGATAATTATATAACACAAAGATATCATAAACTTATACCTGCAGAAAATTCAGCACGGGTCGAAAACGTATACCCGTAAAAGTCCTTATATTTTTCACGATCAATTACGAAACAATTTTCTTCTAAAGATTCCAAACAATTTCTTGTCTTAGATCCATTTGTGCAGATAAAAAGGATCCAATGCTTAATGGGCCTTTCGCTCTCAAATGATTTCTCCATAACTTTAAATGCATTCTTCTTAACTTTGTTGTACTCTCTTTTCACTATCTCCTTAGATAAGGTTTGGGGCTGTCCAGCTGTGGCATTTGAAGATTTAACCTGAATGGCAATAAGGTAATCATCCAGAAAAAAAAAGATATCCCATGGGACTCCATCGCCATTCTTAAATACTGTACCAAGCAATAAGTGCTCATTTTGCATTGTGTCAGGATATTGATGTGCAAGTTCTAAGTAATATTTTTCTATTGTAGGGAGCTGAAATTTATAATCCAAAAGAGGGATTCCTTGATCACTATAATATGCACCTTTGAAAAGATCTCGTAATGCTACTGTTTCATCTAACTCTTTAAGAAGTTGAAGACGTAGGACCCAAAATCGCATATTAAATTCTTCAAAGCTCTGCCACAAGATATGAGAATTTTGATCAATCATAACATCCCAAAATTGACCCGCTTTGAATTCCTTAGTTGAGGTTGTTATCCATACCCATATATATGGCATACGGACATAGGACATCCTAGGATTATCACGTGTCGCTTCCAAATTTATAATGCCTTTTGACGAGAGATCAACATAAGAGAATTTATCATTACCAATTTTAAATTTGTCAGTCTCATCAACGGGAATGTTAAGGATGGCATGTGCAACCACTGGTTTCATAATGGTTGCAAAGCCATCAAATGGATATTTTTTCATAAGGCGGTAATTAACAAGCTGAAAAACAAACTTATAATCAATTTTATGTGTATTCATTTTAATTGCATTTAATAATTCTTTATAAAAAATTTCCAAAGCTCGGACTTGTCCACCGATATCGCTAATGAAGCGTTGAAAGGTTTTGTTGTGATTAATATAGCCTCCTAGTTTTCCTTTCATATATGAGGTAATATTCTCTACTTCACTATCTGAAAGAAGACGGAGTGGTAGACGTAAAAGATCATATGTCGATTCTTTAATCATATTCTCGAGAGGACCTTGAATGGTTCCAGCCAAGATTGGTGCATAGAATATATTGCCTTGACTGCTACTTAACGCCCCAACAGCACGTACGATTTCTTGAACTGGATTTAAATCACCTTTTGCTAAACTGTGGAGACAATTCAACTCATCGATTCCAAGGATGACAAAATTAATATCATTACCAGTATCTTTGATAACAACTCCAAGTGCATTTGAAATTGTGAACTCACGCCAGTTTTTATTACACATCGAAAAAAAATGATCATAGCCCATCGTCCCACCAGAAAGAAAATGTTCGTAAAGTATTCGTAGTGCAACTGATGCTGGACCAGCAGAAGTATCTCTCTCTGATGCACTAGTACAAGTGTTAAAGGTGACATTAATAGATAATACTTTTCTATTATCAAATACATCCAGAAATTCATTGTTATCTTTATCAACATATTCTCGAGCTTGGTTTTCTATTAAAGTTGGAAGTTCTTGGAGAAATCGACTTTTACCAGTGCCTGGCCCATTAGCCAGGATGGGAATTTGGTGTTCTTGTTTGTCATATATATTGTTCTTGCTAAAACCAAATCTTTGGCAGATTCCATTTCGCGATTCAACTTCACTGCCATTAAGTAATACTTTAAATGTTTCATCTCGCCCTTGTAAAGGAAATTCGGCACCAAAGGAACTTACAAGCTAATATGAAGTTATTACGTTGCCAGAAAACCAAAGGAAATAGGTATGAAACAAAACATACCTTGGGCTTCAGATTCTTATTGGGTCGTTTTAACTCTTTTATCCAGTTATAAACTGAATCAACATCACTCCAATCAACCGCGTCTACATGTATTAATGTGGTGGGTTAGGATATAAAACTAAAAACATATTTAACTGGGATACTGTACCTTCTGGGACGCCTCGCGAAGGACCTGATTTAACGCGAAAAAAAAGATGTCAGACCAAATCGATATTTTGTTACTGCAAATTTCTTGTTCGAAAGGTAAAACGTTGGGAGAACACTTACCAGTGGCGGGGGCTATAATGGTGATGATGTGGATGTTTTCCGCTGTAATATTATTATGATTGGCTAATTCATCTTTAAAACACGAACTAAATAAGGCTTGATCTTTCATTTCTTTCCCGCTAAGTTTTCGCACAATATCATCTTCGGTAGAAATATTATCATCTTTAATCCTTTTCTCATCGACATTAACTTTCCAAAATTTCACACTATTTCTGTGAGGACCACTAATTTCTTTCATATCACATATATAGTTCTTGAGGTGTAAAATTTTGAATACGTTTAAGTAGATGTTTTTTTTATCAAACTGGACATATCTTTTATTATTCTTTTCGTTTTTGTAAATATCAACCGAATAAAATTCAAAAACGTTACTTGAAAGTACGTAACAATTAAATGATGTTTCCATCTCGATGATATCGCTGTAAAAAGGTATAAAGTGAAAAAATATTTAAGAGAAAGTTTGAAGAAATGTTAAGGTTGAAAAGGTGAGGTATATATACTTTATATACCTTTCTGAATACCGTAATACAGCGCTACTTCGACCAAAATTAATAAGCATAGTAAAAAAAAAAGTAATTTCAGTACACAAAAAAATGATTAATACGGTTTTATCATTACTCATTAGATTTTTGATTGATTCTCCGACGAATTCTCAGGTATTTATTAAGAAAGGTGAATTAATGTTACGTAATATTTAGGTCGTACGAGCGAGTTATGACTTACTAATTCGGTTAATTAAGAATTTCTAATATAATTAACAAACTTTAATAATATATATTTTTTTTAAACTGTAAAATAGTATATAATTAAGAAAAGAAAGATAAATTTACAGTATAATGGATATTCTTTAGTATAATCACATTAAAATTCTTTCATTATATATTTGAAACATATGTGACCTTTGTAATAGAAGGGGGAACTAGCGAAAAAATGAAAATGAGTTCATGCTAAATCTGAAATTTGGCATATAAAAAAAATAAATTGATTTTTTTTCCGGTAGTTTCCATCCTTTCTATTGCAAAGGTCTCATATAAATTAGTAATATTTGGAAATTTTGATTTTCAAATTATTAAAATTAATTATATCTTTTACAAGGCAATATATTTTAACGTTATAACGTGAATATAATTAATTATTATAAAAAAATGAAAAAAAATAAAATTGACGGTAATATAGTATTCATGTGTGCTTCACCAAATTGTATTAAACGAACAATTTATTTTTCCGAAGTTTATCAGAAGAGGTTATGATTACCTTGATTGAAGAATATGTTTATTTATAGAAAAAATTTTTTTCGCTTAAAATTTTTATTTTATTTTTCTTCCTATATAGACCAAGTAGCGGACAGACGGGGTTACTAAACTTAATTGCAGTCAACTTTGTTGAGCTTCGAGTAGGTACTTCAAAAAGGGGGTCGACGGTAACCTACTCATGGGTGTTTAAAAATATTTACCATATATACTGTATAAATATACAATACACTCTCCGGTTAATAAATAAAAAGTATATTCTATTACTAAATTATACATTCAATCCTTAGTTGACCCATCCTTGACTTCTAGTGCATTCTTCACCATTATCACTTTATTACTGTATATAAAATTGATCATTGTATACAAATTGTTCTTTAGGTATTCAAAACAATTTTATGCCTATACAATCTAGAAGAAATTAAACTGTATTTCAAAGAATTTCCTCTGTGTAAAATCGGAAGTTAAAAAAAACTATAGTTAATATCACACGAAAAAAAAGTATTAGACCTTTTTTATGGTGAAACTCGAACGGAATACCAGAGAGCTATAATCATCTCCGATAATTTCAATATTTATAATTAAAAATTAGTGGAAATTGGAATAGATGGTTATAATGAAGAGGTGCTACTCGCAAGGGACACACTTGAAAAGACCAAGGTGCACATCCTTGACGGAATTAATGGAATTAATTGGGTCGCTATTATTTATGTAACTATGCAGATAATGAGGGTTACCTTCCAATAAACGGGTAAATTAAACGAATGCATCATCTACAAAAAAAAGTAATTGATTAAGAAGGAATTTATAAGTTTAAATTTAAATATTTGGGATTTATTGCGATGAACATTTAATAACATAAATTATTTATGAGCATATTTCATTCTATTTGTAAGGTTAGTTTATTCTGTACAAAATCAAATATTGTTCAAAAATAAAATACATTGTTTATGTGTGCCCTATTAATGTTCATCACCATTATTTTCCTTTCCTTTTATGTCGTTGTTATATATGCGTCCCACCGATATGATCACCACAGGCATTCCTCTAGTTATGCAATGAATCAAAGACAACTCTTTCAATTTATTAAATTTTTTTAAAGAATCTAATAAACCATTAATATTATAATGGCAACCAAAATTAACTTTCTCAAATTGTATAGTCAATAAACAATCCCTTTGACTACTAACTAATACTTCAATTATCCTATTAATACCAACATAATTATCGGTATGTAACCTTATTTCCTTTAGACTGCTTTGTTTCTCAATTATAGCTGACAATAGATTGCAGATTTTTATTCCATGTCGATTTATCCATGAAATGTCCAAGTATTCTAATGATTGACATTGTTTCGAAAGGGTTTCCATGAATTCCATTAAATTCTTTAAGTGCAGATCATATCCATCGATAATACAGATAAAAGATCTTAAATTCCATAAAAATGTTTCCATGGACAACATTGGTAAATCAAGACATAATTCTTCGGAAGAAAAAAAACTAAAGCACGTCAAATTTGTGCTTTTTTCAATGAACATTGAATACAAACATGATAATAATGTTTGCGATCGTTCATTACAGCATTCCGTTTCCAAAGATCCTAAAGAATCTATAAATATATCCAAATTTATCGAAGAATCTTGTTCGAAATGATACTTTTCCAAGATCCAACGTCGAGTAAATTGTTCAAGTACTTCGTAATCTAATTCTTTTAGATATCCTGGATAATTGATTCTTGGAGAAGTCATTTCCGTACCTTCAATGTTTAAATATTCTTTTTGTTTCTCACTTAAACAAGAAATATAAGTGTTCATTAACTTCACGCCATTTGGTGTCGTCGGCATTAACGTGTCATTAAACGGTTGACTCCATAGCTTCGGTAAAATTCTATCTCTCCAAATTTTATTTACTCGAATACATGAGTACCAATCTGGATTGGCGAAGTTTAATATCATATCAAAACATTCTAGTGAAAGTTTTTGGATTGACGACGACATTATTTTAGATAAAAAACTGTGATATATATATATATATATATTTTTTCGAGAACAAAAAAAAAAAAAAGGGATGTGGTCGTGGTAAAAAAATAAAATAAAAATAAATAACTGTACTATTCACCTATATATCATATCAATTTTATTTTTATGCAACAATTTTTTTTTTTTCGTTATCTTTAATGGTGTTTATCAATAAATTTAACAAATGTTTCACAAAAAAAAAAAAAATCCAACATAATCTCTTATCTAATAATAATGCACCTTTATGAAAGTGTATATTTACTTCAACATTTGATAAGATGCCGTCTCATTCCGAGTATTTTAATGGCTTCACATGATAATATATTAAAATGTGTAACATTACAATGCAGAAAACAATCAAGTATTACAAGTTTTTGATTTTTCTTATCTTATCTTTTTTAAAAATTTTTAGAGTAAAATGATAAAGACAAAAACAATTTTTTATTTTCTTTGTTGATTTACAGATAATGTGCTTTTTATTTTTTTTTTTTTTTAAAAAAAAAAATAAAAGAAAGTTATGAAAATCCTTTTAACGGAGTGTCCAAATTTGAAAGATTATGTACTTCGATACGATAAAAGAATTGTTACTGCGCCAAAAAAAAATATTTGATGATCAAATGAAAACATTTTCTCAATATCGATTATGTGAAAAGGTTGTTTACTGAACACAATCAACCGCTTGTATGGATATAAATATAGAATGCAATTAAAAATTTTGATGTCGAAATTTAAGAGCAAAATTACTTAACCTATGCGGTGTACAGAAATCATATGATAGAACATTTGAGTTCCAATAGAAAACTTTTTTTTTTGTTTATTCACAAAAATAACAACGACTTTAGGAAGTTATATATCGCAGATTTTTTGATTTGAAAATTTTTCCCAAGTATATGTTAGAACAAGACCCGAGTCCACCCGTGATCATCTCACCCTGAAATCAGTCAGTGCGGTCTAAATTCATAAATTATGAAAGGGCCTCTTATTATGTAAACCTTATCTGATATGATACTTCGCAAAGCTTATATGGAATTTATTAAGTAATTACTTAATAAATATTGCTATATGGGAATTGAACTTCCATTTGTGGAAAATTTATGTAGTACAGTTTTCGCGCGTTTTGCTTTTTATTCTTTTTTTTTTATTAAAAACAAGCCTTATTTTTTTTTTCATATTTAGATCAGTTAGTCACGAAGCATATCGCAAAAAGGACTAAATTTAAGACTGTATTAATTTTCAGAAATGTTGAAAGACGCCCGAACGTATTCATTAACATTGTGGTATTTATTCCAATATTTAAATATTTGTAATAATTTAATTTTGATAAGTTTACTTATTTTTTCATGAAATATGCGAACCCTTTAGCTTGACTTTACGAGAGAAAATCCTGGTTCTATTTTTTTAAAAAAAAGCTTTCCAAATATGGGAAGTTTGCTATTAAAATCGAACATAGTAAATCATATGATCCGTAATGTGATTTTAATAGCAAACCTCCCATATGATTTCTACTTATGAAACTACCGGAAGAACTGGTCACTTTAATTTTAGATTACCTCAAGACCGCCTTTGACCGCAGTAACTGTTTTATAAGATAACAGCTATTGTAAGAAATTCTAATAACGAAATCACTTGTATCACAATGATATTGCTGAGGGCACATACCAAAGTAGTACCAGCCTTGGGCACCTTTTCAGTAAACTCAGGCGACGACGGAGTCGCGACTCTTATTATTCGACCGACTGAAATTATCATATAAGATTTGGCCAGAATTTTTTTATTTAAATTTTAGAATTCCGCGATGTTCTGAAAATCAAATTTGGATCGGTCACAACACACCGGAGTCGACTCTGCTGACCGTCGAATCCACTCCAACGGCTGGTATCATAAATATACTTAGGGTGAATCCCCAATTCAACGATAAATTATTTTCAGTCTTGGGGCGTACTGAAGACTAAGTTTTTTTTTCATGATAG